TGTAAAAAAAAAAAAAAAAAGACAAGATTCCACAAAAATATTAAGCATCGCAAGTGTTTTCATCCTAATAAATGTTTCAGAGAACTAATTCAGCATATCATGTGACACTGAGGACTGGAGTAATGATGCTGAAAATTCAGCTTTGCCATCACAGGAACGAAAAGTTTGAAATCAGAATATTTCACAATATTATGTTTTACTGGATTTTTGAGCAAATAGATGCAGCCTTAGTGAGTATAAGACATTTCTTTTTAAAATCTTAATCCCAAATTTTTAAAGGTATAAAATATAAAAGAATGGAAGTAGCACAGACAATGTGCGCAGTGTATCAAAGTAACCGCTAGAGGGCGCACAAATGTCTTAGATACTGTAAGTGAATGAGGCAACTGGTTTCCTTCTGCTAATATAAGAATGTGACTAATATCAGCACATTGGCTGCCAACAGCGCTCAGGGGTTTATTTCATTGAAAGAAATAAAAGAGTACATAATTATGATTTACACAAGTACAAAAATAACAATAGTAAAAACAACATCAAACATCACCGATGTGCGCTTCTCTGCCAAAGGAGAAAATGTCAGTGAGCCTCTTCTGTTCAACACTGGCAGCTCATTTATTACAGCTCTCAATGTACATAAGGTCACTCCATTGTGAATGCAGAGAACAAAATGCATGTCTATCTCTACACAAGATTTGAAGTCTCGCACATTATTCAGTACCCAAGGAATTGCACGTTACAAAGGCATGAAAATAAAAATAAAAAACAACATTAAAATAGCGTCTTCTAAAGCTAACGCTCCTCCATAAATATTTCCTTGCTGCTAATTAAATCCACTGTATTTTCTTATAACAGAATCACAGGTTTGTGTAGCCAGGAAAATTAATGAAAATTAGAGTACAGTGTGGAAAACTAATTTTTAAAAAGAAAAGAAGAAAAAACAAAATTCAGAACAGCAATGACATTCTTAGGCCACAACTGTTACAGTACAACATCAAAGGCCAAAACTGTCCTCCAAAGAGTGGTCCGGGTCCAGAGGCCTGTCTCTGTCTGTCTGTCTGTCTGTCTGTCTCTGTCTGTCTGTGTGTGTGTGTGTGTGTGTGTGTGTATGTGTGTTTGTATGCATGGAGGTCCCAGCATAGCGGGGGTGATGCAAGTCCATCATGTTCCCACGGCATCTGCTTCTACTCAGCCCTGAAACACAGCAAGAGCACAGCAGCTGAGTAAAAGAGCAGCTACGTCACCGTCACCTCTACTGATGTGACAGAACGTCAGCAGATGAAGACCTGTGTGCCATATTATGATGCTTTCACAACGAGTATCGTAAAATAACACATACAACATACAAATGATTCTCAGGAAACAGTGACGTCTGTTTGCTAAATGTTTCTTCATGACTTAAAACAATACTGATCAAATTCACAGAATACTCTCACATTCTTTGATAGATTTGACTACATATAAAATGCTAAAGTATTATTAAACTACAAAAATATTTTTTGTTGTTGTTGTTGTTATTTTCATTAATATATTCCCAGAATATTTCCCCCATTCATCAATACTTTTAATGTGTTTTATAGGAAGTAAAAATTAAAATACAGGTAATAAAATGTATTATTATTATTTTTGTATTATTATTATTATTATTATTATTGTTGTTGTTGTTGTTGTTGATAATAATAATAATAATAATAATAATAATGTATCAAAGAATGTGGCAATATTCTGTCTTTGAACCATGTGGTTCAAATATATTAAGACTTAATATAAATCTGTTTCTGGAATAATACTTTAAATATGATGCCAGAAATATCAAATAATGTCAAATAATCATCACTGGTATCACCGGAGGTAATATCAAATAATGAACTTTGAAATGAAAATAATGAATTTTTCTAGCACAACCGGCACCATTTCCTTAAAATGACTCTTATACTGTAAAAATGATTCAAAACAAAGAGGGAGCAAAGTTTGCAAGTAAAGATGATAATAGCTCACTTCTACTGATAAAGCTCTCGTCTTCTCCTCCTAACTTGGGTTTGGCTTTTCTGGGGACTTCTGAAGCTGTGATAAGAGAAACATCTGTTACACATGTGTGGACACAATACAGAACAGCCAAGTGTACAGTTGTGTACAGAATGAACAGTTTTCACTGTATTTGTATTGTTCTGAGCATTCCTTCAGCGATGTTAAGTTTGATTTCTTCTTGAGATCAGAAGAGCAGATCTGATGAGAGTGCATGTGAGTCGAGTTGTGCATGTTCATTTGTATTTACTGATTCTTTAGTCGTAGATTTTGAATCACAGCAACTCCAACCCTCTTAAACTTCTCAACACCCTCTAAAGGTGCTTTTCAAATCGTTTTGACACCAAGGACCCCCAAATATGATGAACATCTTGCAAGGCATGCCCTTCCTATAAAGGCGCTAAATATGAGGAAAAATATTAAATGATGCAATAAAAAACAACATTATTTGCGGTTTTTACTAGTTTTTTTTTTTTTTTAACTTTATTTTCACTGTAATAAAATAATAATAAATTGAAATATTAATTGAAATAATATTTTCTTTGCATTAAGTTTGAAAAACCCTACTATGGAAGCCCGTTTCCGCCACTGAATAAAAAATAAAACAAGGTAATTGTGACTTTTTATTTCACAATTCTGACTTTTTTTTCAGAATTGTGAGTTCATATCTTGCAATTCTGACTTTATAACTCGCGATTTTGACTTTATAACTCGCAATTGCGAGTTTATATCACGCAATTCTGACTTTTTTTCTCACAATTGCGAGTTCATATCTCGCAATTATGACCTTTTTTTTCTCAGAATTTTTTTGCAAAAAAAAGGTCATAATTGCGAGATATGAACTCGAAAAAAGTATTTTAAGTCACTTAAAAATGTGCAACTAGTATGCAATGTTCCTTTAACAATAGCAGTGAGACACATTTGATGATATACAGCCAAAACGTGCTAAAAAGACTTTATAACTCGCAATTTGGACTTTTATAACTCGCAATTGCGAGTTTATATCACGCAATTCTGACTGAAAAAAGTCAGAATAGTGAGATAAAAAGTCGCAATTATCTTGTTTTATTTTTTATTTAGTGGCGGAAACGGGCTTCCATACCCTACATACTACCTACATACTACCTTACATAATTTGTTTGTGTTCTTATAAAATCAGTTACATATTTACTCATATTTTGAAGATCAAAACTAACGCTATGAAATCACTCAAAACCCTGCTGTCCCATCATCTGTCCAAGAGGGGGCAGTATAGGACTCGTAGTTAGCACACCAGCCTGTGACTATGGAAGAGTGTTTGAAATGAGGCCACAGATCTATCTACAGCTAATGAGATCAGATCAAAAAATGAAAACATGAGATCAGAGGAGCACTGGCTAGAGCAGACCACAGGACACCTTATTAACTAGCATTATGATCAGAAATAACGTGAAGAGCAAAGAATCAGAATGAGTGGAAACAGATGGGAATTAAATGACCACCATTTTATTTACTGAAGAAAAAAAAAATAGGAAGAACAAAATTCATTTTAAAAAGCCATTTATTATGAAGAGCTTAAGGACAGGCAGAATATCTACCATACCTGTGTTTGTTCTTTAAGAAAATCAGGTAGCTGAAATTCACCCTTAAAGACCTGGAAAAACAGAGAGCTGATTTAGAGACTGTCACACTGTGCAAACACAGGAACTACACTCTTTCCACAGAAATCAGGGCACTGCTCATTCATTACACATTTCAAAGCTCAGACTCTTCCCTTTTCTGTTTTTATTTCTCTACCTGAAGTCATTTTAATCTCTAAAAACATCCTTCTAAACAGCATCAATACAAACGGTTTTATATGCCTCCAGAAAGCAGTAATGTGGCCAAATGAAAAGTCTGGCGCTGAACGGAAAACAGAGTCCTCTTATGTGAACCGCTCTCTCGCGCTGCTAGGAGGATATTGTGTGTCAATTCCCAGGGTGTCTAACTTCACAAAATTCACGAGCTCGATCCAGGGATGAAAGAAAGAGTGAAAGACTGTGAGAATGAATGAGAGCCAGACTGAATGTTGGTATGAGAAGCACCCAGTACAATCTCCAATTAAGACACATCCAGCTGATCTCATTCCCTGGCTTTCTAAGCTTAGCTCTAGAGCTCATGCAGGTTTTTGGGTATGTTTGTGAGCCGCAGGAAAGAAGCGCTGATCTGATGAGAAGCCAGACAACTTGGAGATTGATCCACTATTTTCAAACCCTTTCTGCTGTGGCAGGTCTAGACTGCGAGAAACCTGAAGCTCTTTATCTTTATCCACTGCTGCTGGGGCTGTCAGTTATTAGAGCTCTATGAAGGTGTTTTTCTTATAAACCCCTCAATTCATTTGTGCAGGATCTCTTGTTCAGCCAAATCATGAATAAATAAACTCTTATGAACCAGTTCTTTTCAGTGAATCAAAAACATTCAGCATGACCAAGGTAGTCTGATTCATGAATAAATGACTCTTACAAACCAGCTCTGCGTTTCCCAAAAACATTGTAAACCTAAGTTGATCGTAACTCCATTGGTGACAATGGTTCTACAATCAACTTAAGCTTACGATGCTTTTGGGAAACACAGCCCAGTTCTTTTAAGTGAATCAAAAACATACCATACAAATTGTGTAGTCTGATTTATGAATAAAATTACTAAGTACAAACTATGTACTGTACCTAAACTATGTACCTTCCTAAACTATAAAGGCAGCTAAATATGAGGAAAAATATTAAACATGAAATATATTACTTTATTTTCAATGTACTAAAATCATAATAAATGAATATATTAATTGACAACATATTTTCTTTGCATTAAGTTTGAAAACCCGTGTACTACCTTAATGGCAATGAAAATCTTACATAATTTGTTTGTGTGAATGAAAAAAAAAACAGTACTAACTGTGTAGTCTGATTTATGAACAAATGACTCTTACCAGCCAGTTCTTTTTAGTGGATAAAAAAAAAAAATACAAAAACTGTGTAGTCTGATTCATGAATAAATGACTCTTACAAATCAGTTCTTTTAAGTAAAAAAAAAAAATACACAGCACAAACTGTGTAGTCTGATTTTGAAGCAAAAAAAAAAAAGCTATATTATAAAAGAAAAATATACCCAAATGAATCAGAATCTCTTTGAACAGAGCTGAATTAAGAGCCTGTGAATCAGAATAAAAGCAGGAAATCTGTATGGATACTCAGCCTCACACAATCAGATGGACATTTATTGCCATTAGGTTGTGACTTTGTCTCGTTTTTAATCAGTGTCACATAAAAAAGTCCAACTTTTAAAAAAAAGTATTCGGTTCCATAATTCCATTTCACTGCTCTCCATCGTTCTTTTTTCCAACACAACAATGATTCTTATGTAAATGATTTCAAAAGCTTGTTTGGGGTAAAGAGAATCTGAAACAGTCAATATAATTATAAATGGCTTCCATACACAAATCATTACATACGACTAGCTGATTTTCTGAGGGTGTTTGAGTTACTTTTGTAAAGGGGAACTGAGTGAATTTGTCTCATTCTCCCCATCTAAGCCAGCTCAACCATATGACTGTTATGCAAGACTTCAGACCGAGAGGAGTCTCCAGGCTGCTGGTTAAAGAGAGCTGGTATCACTGGTGGGTCAAGAGGTGGGGGTTCAGCCATTGGGTGTAGAAGGAAGGGAGTTAATTTGGGGTTAGAGTCGAGTTGGCTAGCCAAACTTGCGGTTCAGAGCCTGAATGGAATTCATTCGCAATGAGAAAGGCGTGCATGTTTCCCATTTCCCATTTCGTAATAATCTATCACTCGTCCAAGACTGTTAGCCACACTAAATCCTGTGAATATTGCATTAAAAAGTGACATGACATGTGGCCAAATATGGTGACCCATACTTGGAATTAGTGCTCTGCATTTAACCCATCCAAAGTGCACACACACAGCCGTGAACACACACCCGGAGCAGTGGGCAGCCATTTATGCTGCGGCGCCCGGGGAGCAGTTGGGGGTTCGGTGCCTTGCTCAAGGGCACCTCAGTCGTGGTATTGAAGGTGGGAGAGAGCGCTGTACATTCACTCCCCCCACCTACAATCCCTGCCGGTACGAGACTCGAACCCGCAACCTTTGTGTTACGAGTACGACTCTCTAACCATTAGGCCACGACTTCCCCCTAAAAGAGGTGAGGTGAGGTGAGGTGAGGATTCGTAAGTCGTATCACCATGGCTGGAGAACAAACAATAGTTAGGAGAAAGACAGACTCTTGCTCACATATTTTGGCTGTGACTAGATCTGGTTCATTCATTTTGTTTGATGAATGAGTAGGACTTGTAGAACACAAAAGTTTAAAAATGTATATTTTATCTTATCCTGCCCCCAAACACTCCTTCATATCCCCATAAAAACAAGCGTCTGACAAGCAGGTCTGTATTTGCTGCAATGGTGTATCTGGTTCTCTATGTTGGATTTAACAGCAGTGACACACAAACTGAGACAACAAGATCTCGTATGACATTTGTTTGGCTCGCTACCACCAAGAAGTGAATTTTTCAGCGCTGATGTAATGGGACCAGAGGTGTAAAGAGTACCTAAAAACCATACTTGAGTAAAAGTACAGATACCTTACAGTGAAAATTACTCCACTACACGTTACAAGTCACCAATTTCAAAACAACTTGAGTAAAAGTCTTAAGAGTATCTGATTTTAACAGTACTTAAGTATTTTACTTATACTAAATATAGGCTCAAAAAATGCACTAGTCAAAGAGACACGCTAGTTAAAAAACTGTAATGTTGTGGAGAAGCTGCAGAAAATAGGCAGAGGCAAGGATCTCTGTGCTGGTATTTCATGGAAAAACTAGAACAAACAATAAGGCAAAAACCAAAGGGAACAAAGAACAGAATGACTGGCAAACAGACAACCATTACATTCAACAACTCGCAAGGAACTAAAGAAAAACTAGGGCTATATATACACACAGGGGCAGTATCACGTCTTTTTGTAGCAGAAATAAACTGCTGCAGAAAAAGCTAGGTCCATGCAAAATGTAATGTGTAACTGCAACACTCATTTCAAATGTAGTGGAGTAAAGAGTACAGATACTCATTCAAAAATGTAGTGAAGTAGAGAGTAAAAGTTGCTAATATCTTTGATACTCAAACTACAACTACAAACTACAAACTACAACTACAAAGTACCCAAAAAGATACTCAAGTACAGTAACTAATTACATTTACTCCAATACTTTACACCTCTGAATGGGACACATTTACTCTTCAAGCAAGAGTTGTAAGTATAGAGAATAATCGGACAAAACCTGTGGGTAACTGAGAGCGTGTGTGAATGAGAGCTTCATACGGGCACAGTCCTTCAGATCCTTTCAGTTCTTGAGCTCCAGGGAGGCGGCAGTGGAAAAACAGACTGTGCAGACCAGCAGGAGAATTCTCTACTGGAATGTTTACATTCAGATCTCCTGTAGCTATCAGTATGGGCTGCTCACTGAACAGTAGGTTTGACTTCTATAAATACACGGAGCAAGAAAATTAATCATCCAAATTATGTAATAATTGGCAAATACGAAAGGAAAGAAATATTATTTAAAGAAAAACTCATGCTGGGATTAAAATTTAAAAAAGGACTCATGTTGTTTCAAGACACATGTCTTTGGGTAAAAGTTGGGTAAAAGCAGTCCATATGATTTGTTCACTATATTACAACCCTCCTGAAGACTTTTGATGGCTTAAAGCACATTATGCCTAACATCTTTTTTGTTCAACGAATTTAAAGTTTATACCATTCAAAATTTTGGGAGCAGTAAGATTTTTTTATTTTTGGAAAAATTAATACTTTTACTCAGCAAAGATGCATTACATTGATCAAAAGTGACAGTAAAGTTATTTAAAATGTTACAAAGACTTCTATTTCAAATAAAAGCTGCTCTTTTAAATCGGACAAAATGGTTTTGTTTTGCAATGTTATTTACATTGATGATAATAAGAAATGTTTCTTGAGCACAAATCAGCATATTAGAATGATTACTGAAGGATCATGTGACACTGAAGACTGAAGTAATGATGCTGGAAATTCAGCGTTGCATCACAGGAATAAATTACATTTTAAAGTATATTAACATAAGAAACAATTATTGTAAATTGTAATATTATTTAACAATATTACTGTTTTTACTTTACTTTTGATCAAATAAATGCAGCTTTGGTGAGCATAAGAGTACTCTTTTTCCATTCCATTACTCTTTTTCCAGTTCTTTCTAATTTTATGTAAGTTATATTACCTTTGTTGTCATCTAATGCTCACTTAAAGCTAATCTTTAACTTTAAAACTTTAATAACAGTTATCGTCATAACATGAAAATACAGTGGGGAAAAAAAGTATTTAGTCAGCCACCAATTGTGCAAGTTCTCCCACTTAAAAAGATGAGAGAGGCCTGTAATTTTCATCATAGGTATACCTCAACTATGAGAGACAAAATGAGAAAAAAAAATCCAGAAAATCACATTGTAGGATTTTTATTGGCTTACCAATATTAATATAACTGCATCCTTACAACAAACTAAATTAACAGCCCTACAGTAAACAAACACCAAATCCCTTTCTGTTCTCTTGAATTTTTAATTTGAAGATCAG